GGGATCTTGGATCGTAATCTTGCTACTGGTACCTTCTACAAAGAGTACAAACCAGTAAATAAAAATAAGAAAAATTAGCATTAATAAAAATAGAGAAAATAAAGGTGTTAAATTTTTAACACCGCACCCGAAGGTGAAAAGACAAATAACGACAAAGTCATTCAATAAAGTTAGTTTAAAAATAAATTCGTGCAGGGCAGAGTTTGTAAAAGTCATTAGAAAGGATAGAACTGGCGATCTAAAAGTCCAACAACTTTTTCCGTGCTTGTTACCGCTGCGCTGCGGTTTCTTCGGTAGCTTTCGCACACTTTTTGGTACATCACGCTCATATGCAAATAGTAAAGGTGATGAAGCAAAAGTCGATAAGCACAAGATTCTATAACCCTACGTTTTCTGTTTCAAGCAATCAGAGCAAACAGTGGAAGTAACGGTCTGTAGGCTTTGTGAATATGCACTTGAGTATGAGCCAGTTATCTTCAAATTTGCTCCTACTAGTGACTGAATTGAAAACCGCTGTACGCTAGGTTCACTCGCAGGCGAACAAGTTGGCTGAGGCAGATATCCTTCGGGTACTTTGCCATAACATACAAACCAAGAGCTCTTCCTTTTGTGTGAACATGTAAATATTTATACTGTTATCGGATTGTGTGAGGACGATAGTAGAGTTCTTGAGTAGTCTACATAAAGGCATTATAGTGGAATGAAATTTTAAAGTGCTAGGTTAAAATCAATGTTAATTTTGAGAAATTGGTGTGTTACTTACTGAATCCATTGCATTCGTGATTTGTAACTTGTATATATTTGTTTCAGATATTAATTAGTAATGTGTCATTCCTATTTTTTGTACTATGCTGAACTGCTTTAGTATTTAGGACTGAATCGTTTTCCATTAGTTTGGCTAGTTATTGTTGCAAATATTTCAAAACTGCATATTTCAGAGAATTTCTATGTAAATTTGATTATTACAGTGCAAAAATAGTGTGAATATGTAAATATTTTGATATATAAAATATGTTATCGAGCTGGTTTATTATGTTATCGAGCTGTGTGAGGACGATAATAGAGTTCTTGAGTAGTTTACATAAAGGTGTTATTGCGAATTTTAATGCTAGGTTAAAGTTACTGTTAGTATAGAAAAATTGGCATAAAATTATTCAATCCATTGCATCAGTGATTTGTAATTTGCTTATATTTGTTTACATGAAATTTTTAATTATTTAATAATGTGCGATTCCTATTTTTGTACTATTCTGAACTATTTTAGTGTTTTGTATGGAATCGTTTTCTATTAGTATCATTTATTAGTATGAGTAACTATTGCTGCAAATATTAAAAAAAATGCCTATTTCAGGAAAAATGTAAATTTGATTACTTCATTGCACCGGAGATACAGCTGCATTAGGAGGGTTCACTAGGTTTTTATCCGTGTAACTTTTAATATGTATGTCGGGCCTCCGTCCACCTGCGGCCGAGCGTAAAGTCGCTGAACACTTGTAGTTCGGTCCGAGGTTCGAATCCCGCGAACGGGCTGGCTGCATGGGTGTTTTCGTGGTTTTCCCCATGTGTAACGTGTATACGAGCCAGTTTCCCTTAGAAAGTCCTCCACGAAGGCATCCCTCCCCTTAGGCAGACAGCCCTAGTGTGCTTTGCCATAATTAAATACACCGTATGTCGGGCCTCCAGCGGCTGAGCAGTAAACTCTGAACACTGGTAGTTTGGTCAGGGGTTGGAATACCGGCAAATTTGCTGGCTCCATTGGCGATTCCGTCCTTTCACTCATGCGTTATTTGCATACAAGCCAATTACTCTTCGAAAGCCCTCAGCGAAGGCATCTCTCCTCTTAGGCAGATAGCCCTCTTATGCTTTGCCGTAAGTAAAGAAACTAAACAATTATATGTTAGTACTTTTATAACAAAAAAAACATAAAGAATTTCTTTCTATAAAATAGATTTTACATTTTATCTCAAACCCTACCTATTTCTATGTTTATTAAAAAAAATTGAAATTTGTTAGAGAAACTTAAAGGAAGATAAGTGAGGGCGGCAGTTTTAAGTTTTTACCCCGCCTAGGAAAAATGCTAAGTCCGGCGCTGATCCCTCACTTAACCGTGGAGAGGTGCGAGACTCATTTGAACAAATCTAGGTAGTGATGGGTTATCACACTATTCAATCTGGGTTCACTGTAGAGTCTATACTTTTTCAGAGAATCAGAGATAAGAAATCAACTATATTTTAATACTCCTCCAAAATTCAAAACATATATCTTCCAACTGGGAATGTTAACCACTTACAGTGCAGAAGCGACATGTGGAAGAATGTGATAACTTTTGTGTGACAAACTATACTATTACAGAAATAGTCTCATATCGAGAAATCCAGAAAATGAGTGTGCTTAATTTCTTGTTATTGTAATATTCAGTTTGTTTGACATTACATGATAAAAAGGATAAACTCGTTATTATTTTAATTAAGCTTCCTTTTAAATAATACACTTACATTTCTTTAAATTCTCTGAAGAATTTAGGTTGTATGACATAGGGCATCATTTTTTTATTTATCATTTCTGGTTACCTGTGCACGATCTTATATTTTAGTGTACTACAGCCCATTACCCCTAAAATAAGATTACATTCAATATTACAAAGGAATATTTTAAGAATTCTCAGAGATTCCGAATCCCTAATTGAATATCATTAAAATGCCAATTAGCAAATTTACATTAGCACTGCCAAAAATATATATTTCCAAAAAAAAAGTTTGTAAAACCAAATTCTAAATGTAATCATAATATCACATTTTTTATATAATACAACTAATCTGTCAACAGATGTGAATATAAGAGAGCGGCCAGAGTCATAAATGAGAAGTGAATGTGTGTGTGTGTGTGTGATTATGGCAAAGCCTCGAGGGCTATCTGCCTAAGGGAAGAGATGCCTTCATGGAGGACTTTCTAAGGGGAACTGGCTTGTATACACATTACATATGGGGAAAACCACGAAAACACCCATGCAGCCAGCCCGTTCGCGGGATTCGAACCTCGGACCGAACTACCAGTGTTCAGCGACTTTACCGCTCGGCCGCTGGTGGGCGAGAGGTGAATGTAATGGCACCATTTTGTTTTTTAAAAAAGACATTTTGTCTTTTTAAAAAAGATCTCCAGGCAGCTGAATATGTATACAACTGTATTAAATTAAAATATAAATAATGCTAGTATGTAATCCATCTACAATCAGAACATAGAAAGAATGTTTACAAAAGTACTCCTAAAATATTGGCATTTTACTATAACATTCATTACTTAAATTCTACAAATGTAATTTTAAGAGTAAAGAATAGTAACTCACCTGACATACATGGGTTAAATAATTCTTAAAACGGTAGTTTAATTGGAATTTATTTTAATTTTAGGTTATTTTTGATATAAAATGTTTAATGGTCACATAAATAACGTTGTAAGCGGTCTTTTGAAATATGTGGTGCAGAATTACAGATCAACTGATAACTATAAAATATTTGAGTATTTTTCTACCTTAGGAGTACTTGCTTGAGAATATTCCTGCCATAATCAACTCATATTTAAAAATATCGGGTTTTCATGAAAGTTTTCCTGCCATCTCTAATATCGTCTGTGCTAAAAGTTTGCGTTGGTGTAGTTAAGTATATTTTGTAAAACAATTTTTGCCATATGAAAGAAAGAGACTTGCTTTAGAAGTGTGTTGTGCAATTTTTTTAAAAATAATGTTATGATCAATTACAAGGTGTCTGAAAAGGTACTATCACACTACCAGATTAAAACCATCATTTCCTTCCAGTTCTGTTGCAAAAATTCAGCCATAGAATGTCCCCAAATCGTGCGAAGAACTATGACATTCAAGAAGCAAAGTGCTCTGGCCAGCCTACTGATGTTGATGAGGCCTGCCTACAAGAAGTTGCGGAAGAAGATCAGTATGCAACCACTCGAGAGCTTGCTAAAGAGTTAGATATATTGCCATGTCTATCATTCACACTAACCACCGCATAAACTTGATGTACAAATTCAATCACTGGGTGCCACATGAGCTGACTCAAGCAGATAAGGACAGGAGTTGTTCAGGCCTGCACTAATCTGCTCAAACATCTATGCAAGGACAAAATTTTGGATCGGTTCGTCACTTGTGATGAAAAGTGGATTTACTTGAACAACACAGGCCGAAAAGGATTTGGTCTGCTCCCAGTGAGCTCGTCGGCAACAAAGCAAAGCGCGATTTGACTAACAAAATATCACACGTTTTTTTAATCTGGTGGGACTGCCATGGTATTTATTATTCACAAAGAGTAGTTGGAAAAAGGTAAAACCCTCAACAGTAAGGTGTACAATGAGATGCTACTACCTGTTGAAGCTGCTATCAAGGAAAAACATTGAATTGAGTTCCGGTGCAAAGAGTTGATGTTCCACCAAGATAATGCAAGACCACATGTGTCTACATTCATTGCCTACACAGTATACGGATTTGAATGTGATCATTTGCCAGACCATATAGCCCCCAACGTCACTCCTTCGGACTTCTACTTTTTTTCACACTTGCAGCTACATCTGCTGGTGCTATATTCCATTCTGCACAGAACATCCAAAATGAGGTTGATCTGTTTTTTTGGACTTGTGGCCACCAAGTTTCTGGGCCGAAGGCTTTGAAAAACTACCAAAACATTGGCAAAAAATCAGATTTAGGTGGTGATTACTACCTGCACTAAAGGTACTGCTTTCATTTTTTTTTTTTTTTTCCCTAACTTTATTAAGAACGTTTTGTGGCAGAAAACTTTCGTTACAACCAGATACATAAAAAAGATTTAAGGAAAAGAATCTAAGCAACTAGGCAGTTATATTACTATGAATGAAGCCTCATAAAAAATTAATCATATTCAAAAGATCAATTTCATTATGCTACTGGCAAGCTAAAACTAAAAGGAGCTATGATAGGTAATTTGTATTATTAGACATTGATAAAATAATGAAACATTAAATCCATTTTTATTTCAATATTTTATTACTAATCATAATAAATAAGCTACTACATATTTACACATATGATGCTATTAACAAGCCTCAGTATGAACTGAGAAATCGAGTTACTTAAGCAGATTAAATTGGACAATCTATGTACAATTACATTTCCTTGTTTCATCAACATATTTGTTGATTAAACAATATAATACTGCTCAAACCTATATTATAAATTCACATGTAGAAAAAGAATTTCAAAATCTGACTCTTTTTAAATATTTCATTGAATTCAACAGATATTTGGCACTAATATTCATGAAGATAAACACAAAGTTTTTTATTACATCAAATAATGATACATTATGATATAATATTTTATAAACTGATATTTCTTTAGAAGTTTATCTCACAGAGCATAATAGCCATCATGCTGCTTGGAAAACTCAGACTATATCAGTTTATAAAAATATATCACAATAATATTATTCAAAAGATTTATATGTACATTTTGCCACTAGAAAAACATTATCACTAGATTTAATGAACTGAAAGAGATACATCTTTAATTGAAAGAGATACACCTTATTCTTATACACATATGAATAGAATTCCATATAAATTTAATGACTATAGAGGTATGGCACAAATATTCAGATATTATTTTGTGCATATATTTTAAAACTTATTCTAGCAGCAAAACACAAGAAAGTTAGGAACTTCAGAACAGGCGACTGACTTGTTTGCCTGCCAATTTAAACACTAAAACACCAACAATATACAAAGTCCAAAAGCTTTTCCATAAGCATATTTATCAATCATATTTTGCAACTGGACAAGATACGTAGCCTACAAACCATTGCCTTTATTTCTGGATTCTTTCAAAACCTGTAATAAAAAATTTTAAATTAATCTCAAAATTAATCTAGAAAATTAACATTCAAGTAAAGCATAAATATAAAATGACGGACTGTAAAATTCCAAAATTAAACTGTAAACGAAAATTTTAAAAATTGGTGTGGCAGTATAACTGAAGAATGTGAAAAACTGATTTCCAGGAAAAATGTAAAATACTCTTTCAAGTAATTTTTGTAATTGCAATTTGTTCAACATCTGAAATCAAAAGCCTTATTTGCTTAAAGCTTATTCTTGTGAGCATATTAGCTATTAAATAAATATACCATCTCGCAAAGAAAATGCAGAGTAGAATGTGATGAAAACTGGAAAAATTTATATGCACCGTTTGGCCTTTCTTCAAAATAATGAAAATTTTTCAGAGTTGTTAGAATATGGCAAAGCATACAAAGATTATCTGCTGCAGGAAAGAGATGACTTTGTGGAAAACTTTCTTCCAAAAACAGACTCATATTTATGTTACACATTGTGAAAGCCATAAAAATATTCATGCAATTAACTCATTCACCAGGATTCGAATCCCTGTTTAACTACTCTAGTTCAGTAGTCACTCATACCAGCAATTAGCTCGTTTTTCAGAGACATACTCCCAAATACTTTTAATTACTTCCTTAAAAAAACAAGCCTCCTTCATATACAGGACATAAATTGGAAGAATAACAGTAATCAAACCGCATGACAACTTCACATACAAGCTTAAAAACTCCCACAGGCGGATGCCTACTTTCAAATGCAGACATTTTTTGTTTTTTATCCTACACAATTTACAAGTTTGTACAACTCTTGTTTCATAATTCCATACTATTATGGAAATAGGATAAACAGCTCAGTCTCCAGTTTACATAATAAAATTCAGAATTGAGTTTTTAAAATTAAATTTCCAAAAGAAAATTGACAGACCATGTGAAACCCATCATGGTTTAAATGGTTTTAAATGTAACATATTGTAAACTACTTTCCTGTTGTTTCTCATTACTGTGACCGGCAGAGCTAGATCAGGTCCATGAGCCCATTCACCCCAAAAGAGTCCAGTACAAAAAGTCAATCCTGAATCAGATCCTGTCTGGTGGTAAGCCCCAGACAAGATAAGATGTGATCAGGAGAGGCCTGTGCAGTAGAACACTTAGTGTCTATTTCAAAGTGTTTATTACGTTCAACAAAAGTCATTGATAACAGATGGCCACTAAGGAATCTAGTAAGTGCAGTTTGATCTCGAGTATTGAGCTATTCATGGATGGTGCAAGGGGCAGCTTCTATGGTCACAGATCGGGAAAACCGGCAGCAGAAGACTACTTTCCTTAAAATTAATAATATGCAAAACTTCTGCATTTACTTGATATATCTCTAGCCTGTTACCGCACTAATTATGCTACATCAAAAACAATAATCAGACAGTATTTGGGAAACTGATAAACACTATGCATATATTTTTTTTATCCATTTATAACAACATATACAAAGCTTTTCAGAATTAATGGAACAAACTTTAAGGAGTGATCGAATATTAACTTTTGCCCAAACTAAGATAAAATATAACTATACACCCATTTCAAACCATACCAATTTGCTTCTCATTTCCTGAAGGTTCAGTACACATTTCTTGTGACATGTTCTTGCTGAAATGCTCAATTTCAAAAGAGTAGTTTTTTTTTAGAGAGACCTTCCGTTTCTTTAATATTAGAGTTGCATGCTTAAAAATTCTATGAATTTAATGTAATAATATATTTAATATTTTTTTTCATAGTACTGGTTCCTTCGTTTTATATGAAATATTTTATTCTATTTAAGATCAACTTTAATGCCTTGTTACAATTTTCCTTATCTTCAAATCACCCTTATCAGGTTCCGGAACCCACTGTGGCCAAAAGGAAGAAAGTGACTATCGTTGGCAGAGATCTTTCGCACCATACATGACAATACAACTTCTGGCCAGCTTCATTCCAGTTTTAACAGACAGCCCAGGAGATGGACCCAAGGGTATTGTTAGCTTCTTGATATGTAAGAGCTAATCCAAAAAGACAATCTACATTTAGAAACAGCAATGCCTTTCCAAGATTCAAATTCAAACTAACAAAATGATACTGCAGCCATCCCCCTTAACTGCCATATAAATCAGGACAATCTTAATAATATCTTTCTCGTCATTTATTCTGTTTTCTTAAATATTTATCTTCTATCTGACCTTTTGAAATTCCAACAGTTTTATTTAACCTTTTATAGATTTAAAACTGCATTTTATATTTTAACATGTAGTTACAAGGAGATATGCAAAGAAAGGTTTAATGGGAAAAAGTACAGTTAAATTAAGAAAATTCAAATTTATGCTTCCAAAAAACTTTTTTAAATATAAAATATATGCAAACTTTCTGCATACTAAGAAAATACATAAAGTAAATGTAGTAACATAAAACTTCATAAGTTTCTTGGATTTTTTTTCATTCAGAATTAAGAAATATAAAGCAAGTACTTACCATTATCAAGTTATCTAAACCAGTGAGGTAGCCATCTTCATGATTGCCATTACACCATCTTGACCTGTGATCAATAGAAATGCCTTCAGGCAATGGCATAGTCTTTGCAAAGTCTATCATCCAAGCACCAGCTCTTTTACCATCATGAATAATAAGAATGCTGCTACCTATCACCTGTAAATAACCTTAATTTATTACTTTGCCTTTATACATTAGTAATAATAACACTTAATTCAGATTTATCCATATTACATTCTCTTATTTGATCATATTACTACTCATACAAAATTTAACTGATATATATATATTATACCTAAATTCCTTTTAATTCCTTTCTTTCATAGAAACAATATTTCATCAGTCATATATTACGGCTGATGAAATATAGGATAATTGATTAAATAAGTGTATAATTTAAAACTAATAATAGCAATAAGAAAATAGGACAATAAGTTTTTAAGGTTAAAATCAAGCATTTTTGATTTGCTATGCGAGTAAAAATGACAAGAAACAAAATGTGTGTGTGAATGTTAGAGCAAAGAAAAATTCAAGTATATTTTTAGCTAGGATAAAAACTGCAACCTGACATTTATTCCATAACAAGTACATAACTTATTCTAATTAAACTAGTTACACTAAAGAAGGGTCTTTGTTTCATTGTTTCATTATTTCATTATAAAATTTTGTTCTAGAAAGGATAAATTTACTTAGTAATAAAAACTTTAAAAATTTCATAAAATGCAAAGTTCCTTCACCTTATGGATTTCAAATGCAATTTATCAACTTCCTATAATACTGACATAAATTCTCAATCCTTTTTACTTAGACACCATGCTAAACTAAAATCTTTTAAATTATTGAATTATTATAACTTAAACTTGACCTAACAACTGACAGATCTATTGTGATTTAAAAAATTAATGAATTCTCAGTACTTCTACACCTTTAAAAAATTAGATTATTAAATGCAAGTATTTTTTAAGCAACAAACTTCTCACATTTTTCTTCGTATCTGTAAAATTTAATGGACTAGAAATACGTTTTAAATGAACATAATTTGTCTTTCAATTAAAAGCATACAACACTGTAGCAACAGTCAAATGTAAAAGAGAGCACCACAGTTAAAAATGAGAGACATGCAAGAACAACTATAATTAAAGTTAACTGTTAAAGCTAAAAATAAAAATAAATTAAAAAAAAAATTGCTATTAGCTAGAAACCATTTTCTGTGAAATGAAAGAATTTAGTACTACTACAAAACCTTCAAAATCCCAAACTGAGTCTTGTGGTCGTCACAAATAAAGATTAAAAGGCCTCAGAAATACTCTTGAATGTACCGTAGTTTTGCTTGTTTAGTATAATAAAACTACCACTTAACAAGGTTAATAGGGAGGACAATGTCCACAGCTAACTCAAAATGGGAGTTACTCAGCAATAGTTAGAAAAATGTATGAAAGGATAGCAATTCATATTATAATTAACACAAAAATAGTATTAGCAATTTATTTGTATTGCTTAACAATTTAATTTGGGAAATAACTTCATTTGGTTGTATAAATCAAGTCAACATTCAAAACGCAGCAGATAATATTTATAATACTTTTGTGTTTTGGCAAGAATTAATGGAAAACAAAAGTTTAATCCTGTGGCCTGCATTTATTTTCACCCTTTAACAATTTATTTTGGCTAATCTTTGGAATATGGTAACAGGTAGTTTGGCGACATTTTGGTAAGGCGATATAGGTTACTAGCTAGAACTTTAGTAGTGTACATGGTTAAAGTCAAGAGTGTGCGCAATGCCATTTTTGTGCAATTCTGGGATTTTTTTTTTTAAGTGAAAATAGGTTGACGTGTACATGGATACTGTTGTGTGTGCAAATTCTTAAAAACGTGGGAAGCAGTGGACGATTCTGCACTTTCTCTCAATTTCGCACCTAATCTTCATCATGATTAAGCACTTTTGTTCCATAAAAGTTCTAGCATAAGCGTAATTCTGCTAGCAGATTGTTGGAGAAAAAATGTTGAGTAAAAAAAAAACATGCCTTTACTTCGTGAAAACAAAATGCCGTCTCAAAAAAAAAACTAACAGGTTGCTGTAGCAGGGTTGGTCGCCAAATTTTCGCCAAAAAATCGCCAAGTTACCATAATCCGAAGATTAACCTTTATTTTTAATGGATGATTTAACAATGTTTATATATTTCAGATTATGTATTGTTGTGAATAAAAGTAATTCTTAAATGCTGCAACATGATCTGTCTCTTATCCCATGTATTTTTCTACACCCTTTTATTTTTTACTATACACACTTTACTTTATTCTGATGGCTTATGATAGTACTTTTACCATCAATTTGCAATAAAAAACTTAACTTGGCCTGGTTAATCCAGGAGTTCACAATACAATAATAAGAAAATACCTAATTCCATCTTGAAATATGCTGTGTAAGAGGTATTTAAACTTGCCTCCCTTTCTCAGAATTAGAATATTAAAAGTTTTGATGGTTCTTTCTAATTATCCACTCCGCCCTCAAAAAACGAATGCATCAGGCAATGCATTACGTAAGCCAAAAGAGTCATGTGGCAACCCGATGCTCCAAAAATGTCTTTATGTAGCAACAGATGAGCACCTCAATACATGTAGATTCCCTCCGTTCAAATTTGACAGTCATTTTTCTGAGTATTGTTTGCTTTTGCATTGAGAATTCTCTCCCCCCCTTGTAATGAATCCAAATCAGACTGTGGAGTTCATTGGCTGATGAAAAACAAAGTGCTGCATTTCTTAAAAATATGGTGTTTTGTCAAACAGCAAAGAAAGCAAAAATTCACATTTCATGAAGTTGTACTTCTTAAATTGGCAAATTTATGGAAACAGAATACGAAAACTTTCAAGCATCACTACGCACTTGAGCAGGGCAACAGCTTGTTAAAATGCCAAGTTTGTGCACAATGCCAATTTTGTTCCATTCTGATTAACTGAAAACAAATCATTGTATAAATCAAGAGAATAACAGTGTAACAAAAAAAAAAAAAAAAGAGAGAGAGAGAGATTTCTTGAAAAAGGTTAAATGTGTTATTATGAATGTTTCTTGCCTTTTTAATTTTATTGGTTCATTGCTCAAATCCTAAGTATGCTACCATTTATAAAATGGCCATTGCCTTTCACATAATAGATTCGTGAAAATTAGCCACCAACAACTTAGCGACTTTTCAAAAAGAGGGAGGAACAGATAATTAGAAAGTATCATTTTGATTTTCATATAAAGACTTCCTAAAAATATCTGAAAAAATAAACACATACCTCATGCTGGCGAAAGAAAGGCGACTTTTCTAATTTTGTTCTCAAATTCTGAAGTCGAGTAATCAACTGTAGCCGTATTTTCTCACTCTTATTGAAAAACTGCCTTAGCGTTCTGGAGATATCTTCTTTAGATTTTAACATTTTTAAATCTTTGGTAGGTTCTTCACCATGAACCTAAAAGGAAATAAAAATTTCAATTTAGGATCTATAATTCTGCAAAATTTAAATAAATCTTTAAGGCAATTTTAATTTTTAAAAATTACATTAGTTCATAACATCAGCAATTTTTAGTACACAAGATGCAAATGAGAATAATAACATAAGTACAACTGTATTTTAAAACTAATCTAAATACCATATCTGCACATGTATCAGCCACATATGCATAAGCTAAACTTTCTGAAATATACTTGGGGGAAAGAAATTCTTAGCATTCTAAACTGGATATGCAAAATATATATATATATATACCAACACTGCTAATTCCTGATTAATGTGAACTGCCAAGAGCCAGTTCTGTGTGTGCTAAGCATGGGTCAAATGCCTGCGAGTCTCACAGCCACATTTAAACTGCAAGTGGTGCGTTATGCAAATAAACGCAAGCAAAAATCTAGCAACGGGAAAGAAGTTCGATATAAATGGAAAAAAATCTGGCACCAATGGATTGACGAAGGGATGCTCTAGTGAAAACATCAGAAAATCAGCTATCTTTTTTCATAAAGACAGCAAAATATCTGATTGGTAGCAAATTTGTTGAGATATATTTTGAGAAATTCAGGCAAAAGGGCTTATTCAGTCCAGAGACCTGAGAAAATGTCCAAAACAAAAATTCCTGAACATGAATATAAAAGAAGTTAAAACAGAGCAAGATATTTACTGGAACAACATAAAGTTGTGATTTTGTGTCAAACATGAACAGTGCAACAGCTTCTCGGCACCAACTAAGAGAAACTGCTAGCATTTCAGAAACATTCTCAGATTTTAAAAAAGATACATACATGGCTAGGACAAATAGGCAAGGTTACAAAACTTATATTTTCTTCATTACCTCAAATGACATTCAAATAGCTGAAAAGTACATACCGATGCGAGTCGAGGGAGCAGAAAAGCAATGTTGAATGATAATAGCATGTATCACAACAGGCAGGGCCAGAATTAAACTTGATGAGACCCTAAGCTATTTGAAATACAGGGCCCTTTATAAGTCTGTTATACTATATTTTAAATTTTTGGGGGCCCCCAAGAAAGGTAGGGGTCCTAAGCTATAGCTTGTATAATTTATACATAAATCCTGCACTGACAACAGGCAGAAACAACCTGCTGGCTTACTTTTTTTTTAACAATAAAACCCTACCAAAAGAAGAAAGGCATGGAACATTGGTTCAAGTTCATGATTAGCAAGTTGCACATGGTTGCTAAAAACACCTTTGCCATCCATATAGTATTAAGGCAACTGAAGAACTCCACATGTATTGACCAAAGAGTTTGAGGTTTTGATATGCAGTTGCATCACCGATTTATGTTAGTTGCTCACAGTTTTCAAAGTCATCTGATCAAAAGAGTGAAAAATAAGATATAGGAAGAGAAAAGTGACATGATTATGACATCAGAAGAACATCAGACTGGAATGTCGCAACCACAAACATTTTCTTTTAAGGTTCATCTGCAAAGTTTCTATGCAACTCACGGTGCACACTACAAAGACTAAGGTGTTTTAGAAGAGGGAATATTCAAGTAAGCATTCAAGTACATGAGACAGCTTATTACATATGTTGATGATATTCTACAAGAAAGAAAATTAAACTATCTAATACCATGCCAAAATATAAGACTAAATATATTTTTAATTGAAAATAGTAGTAAATTAGTATACTTTTTAAATGCTACTTTGCTCATTTAAGGCAGGTATAATGTCCAGTAAATTATTTTAAAGAAAATACTGTTCCATGTGTGCATAGTAATCCAATTCAAAACTGAGATGGAGAAAGACAGTAATTTCATATGTAAATAATAAACCCCTCTCTGAATGAAAGATCATACATAATGCCACTCAAATTTGGTCTTCTAGAAACCATCATATATTCAGAAAGTTGTTTAAAACAGCAATGTAAATATACTACATTAAAAAATATTGGCCAGTATTCAATTTTTATATTGCTAGAAATAGTAATTACTTTCAGAAGCACTTTACTTATTTTAGACAAGGTGCTTGCCATAAAAGTTCTTCTTCGTATATATATGTAATAATATAATAAGTAGTCTGATATGAGAATTTTCAATTTAAAAAGCACCTGTCAATATTTAATTCTGGTAAAACTCACAGCATAAGCATAAAAATAATCACACTGAACTAATGAAAAGCTCACTCACTAAAAAAAAACTTTAAACTTTGGAAAAAAGAAAAATTATACTTTGATCTTAAAGAGTTAAAACTTTTCTAATCAAGATGCACAGATTTAGCTTCAAAGGCTTGAAACTTAAAAGTTTTCTGAAATTCCCTCTCCAGTGGGTGTTATTATAGTATTTATATTATTGACTGTTAGTGATACAGTCATCAAATGGGGCTGACTAAGAATTTCACATCATTTTATTATTACTATGCAGTGCAGAAGTTTTTCCATTAAAAATATATCCCAATATGCTAGAAACAGCCTGTGGCTGTTAAAAAAGATTGCTGAATAAAGATTATGAATTCAAAATTTTGCAGAAACATACCATGCATTGGTGCATGCTTATTACATGTCGCTAAAATAGATTTAAAAAAATTGTAGTCAAAAAAGAGTTTAGATAGGTTTTAAAATTTTATCTTACACATATTATTTATTATATTATATATATGCAACATTAATAGAATTATCAATACAGTTACTATATGCATATTAATATAATTACCTTAAATCCTTCTATTCTAAAGCCAAGTTCCGCAGAAGAACTCAGATTTTCTCGAAACTGAAAGAGAAACTAAACTTAATGACATAATACACATCTGAAATTTCAATAAATAAATTTTTGACCAGAAATTAAGAAATTAATTACAAAAGTAAGATCAAACAGTTAATTTAACAGATAAAGGAGATTCCTGTTTTAAAAAACCTGAAAACAATACGTAAACATAAAACAAAGAAAAGCAAAATTTAGAATGAAATATGTGGCACAACAGTATGTGAAAACAGAAATTCAAGATATGCAAGAACCAAATCAATCCACACATGTAGCCCAAATCATCATTAATAATCAGAGATTGCTCAGTCATGTTAGAAAAAACCAAGTATATATTTGATACAAAACACTGCTTCCTCAAAGAAAAAAAAAAAAAATGAATCTTTTGCCTCTAATAATGAGGTGTTTTAACATTCAAATACAAGTTGCAAAATCAGCTAGCTGAATGTCCCATACAGTATTTAAATGGAAAAGACAATAGGCATGATGAGTAATTTTCAATAATCCCAGACTTGCATTTTCTATGCAATTTTTTGATGCCCTGATTTTTAGAGCAACAAAACCTCTCTAATGACATCTTAGCAGCCCTTATCTGTTTTCCATTTATAGTTTCTGTTCTATAATAGGTAATCAACCATGACTATCATTTGCAATTTTTTCTTCTGATCTTAAGTACATCAATTTCACTCAGTAGTTTTTCTTCACTTTCAAAAGCTAAGCATTTAATTCATGATGACAAGCAGGTATAGCTCCCAGAATTTTTCATTTACAACTCAGAAGCTATACCTAAGCAGATAAAGGTTACAAAAATGTGGCTAACATTGTTTCATTTTAAAAAAAAAGATCACCAGGAAAATGTTACCAAAGATAATCACACGATGCTTCACCATCAAGTCAATATGCATTTTCTGGTTTTTGAGTTGCCATTAAAAACACATTAAAGAAATATGTTTACCTGCATATATCTTAACTTGGTAATGGCTTTATTTTCCTTTTCCTCAGGCGTAGGAGCTGTAGGATCTACCTTTACCATTTTCTCATATAAATCACTTCGAGCTTTGTTATTTTCTACTTCTGATTCTAAGAAAGTTCTAAAATAAGAACATTTTTATAAGCATCGTACATAAGAGAGATAAAAAGCAAAATAAAATTTATAGAATAACAAATTCTCAAGTTCTTAACATTACCTTGTTCCCATTTTAATGTCCATCACAGCAGGATTCTTGAAATTATACAGAAGGTCTTGCATTTCAATAAAGTCTAAGCTTCAAGTCAAAGATGATACCAAAGTATGATCGATTCAATTTCAGTTTTTTATATCATGAGAACAAAGAAATTCATAAGCATAAAATTAAAATATTTCTAACAGGCAAGGATACATTCTCCATTATACTCGACATCTTTATAAAAATGTGGCACCATTGTAGCAAGAGGATCTTTCATTAGCTTTTTGTATGCTTCTATTTCAACACCATCTGGAGAACTCTTCTTCCAAATAGTTCCTGGTCCAGCAGGAGCAAATGACCCTAACAAAAAATTCAAAATATTAGTATTATTGGCAATTATAACAAGCATGGAAGGGATATTAAAAATATATAAATATGCTATTCTACTTAGCTACAAAGAGACCATCTTATAACAGTACCCCTAAAGGTGTCTGTACTATTATGCAAGTTATCTACTGTTAGAAAAGATAGAAACCTTCATGAAGATGTGGGTATGTATCATTTTTTAATTTGTAAAATACTGCCTTCAAAAAGATGCTCTCACTTTTGTGCTAGGGCATTGCTATGCAAACAGGATTTTAGTTTGCTACTGTGATTAGCAAGTCAGTGAAATTCCATGTGCATAGAGATACTCTGGCATAAAAGTATCCGTATCTTTATTAAGATGGTGTTTTAAAAGTTAGAAATTAATCTTTACAAGGCTAAGGACAATTTTATGCTCAGAGATCCTTATGAAAGTGGCCACAGTTCAGTATATAAAAAGTTCGGGTTCAGAACTATAAAAGGGGAAAAGTTAAGATTTAGAAATATAACAAGTACAAAGAACTATAAAAGTTGGTCACTTTAAACAGTGGCCAACCTGCGTAAGATGCTATCACTTTTGTGAAAGGATATCATTATGAAGGAACCTTATTACAAATACAGAGAAAAGACATTGCATTTTCTAGTTTCATAAAATCTCTTGGTTTAGTCTGGTGGTGGCGTTTTATAGAGAATAAATAACCTGTGGTCATACCAAGCACATGATATACTAAATTTCTTGGTCCAGCAATATCAATTTTTATATAACTTATTTAAACATCATGATGCAGTAACTGTTTACTACTATAGAGCTTAAGAACGATTCATATATAAAAAAACACAACTGGTGAATTAAAAAAACTGACTTCATTTTTAAAACAGGGATTTTTAACTATTTGCTGGTAGATTATCTGGAAGCAAGATGACACCTAATTCAGCATGGAGGTTGGATTACCCAAAACTGCTTATTAATAAATTATCTTTGATGAACAACATATTTTATGTATTTTAATGATTTACCACATACAGTTATAACTTTTGTCGTGAAATCATATTGAAAACTTTATGCAAGTACATTACTGCTGAGCTTTGAATAACATTCCTCTACTTGGTAATACTAATCAGAGTGATTTTTGTTTTTTTATACAAGAAACGAATGCCTAAAACTGATATTCGCAACCTACGGCAGACTTTTGCTGAATAAGTTATTTGCAGTCCACTTAAAATATTAATAAATCTTAATTTAAATAGTTCTTCAGAAATGTTAGGTGACAATTTAGAACAAAAGATGCAAGGATTATTTTTATTTAAATTATTACTTATTACCAAAATCATTTCTTGTGGCAACATAACAAAACATCACCGCGTTTTCATAATATTAAGTACATGAGGCTGCAGATGATTCTTTTTCACAATAATTAATGATTTATAGCTGCATCAATAAAAATTATGTATCATAACTAAATGGTATATAATAAGACAAAACCAATATTCAGATAATATTAAAAAATTACCTTCATGACCAGAAAGTTGCACCCAGTTATTAAGCCTGTTTTTCAGTAGAACATTACTTGCAGGAGCAGTTAAGTCAAGAGCATTCTAGAAGACATAGGAGATTTAGCATTACAGCAATTGTAAAAAAAATTTACATTTTCTTGGAAGCTAACACACAGAGAGTATTTAATTTTTAAAAATAATCAATTATTGTATATCACGCAATACTTACTAATGCTAAGAGCTGTAAAAGTGTTAAATGGTCAGGCACGTTCTTGCGAGCTTCTCCATTATCCACCGGTTCCACCACCCCATTGCTCTTAGGTGAAACACTAGCTTTTGCAGAGCCAAATGCATTCCTAGCAAACTGGTGCACTTTACTTCGAGACAATACTTTTTTATTCAGGTCACCCTCCTTTTCCTTTGGACGAAGGAGACTGGATAACTCCGCAGCCTGGTTATCCGCTTTTTTTGCGGCCTGCAAGGGAAAAAACATCATGTTAAAAATCATTTTAAAGAAAAACTGACTTCACATTTAAATTATTTTAAATCACCTTACAGACCGAAAATAAAATGTTTTGTCTTAATACAGTACGAACAACTATTAAAATAAATACAGATAATCCTATACAATTGGTTGTGGTTTATCGTATTATTATTATTATCCTATACGTTTGATTAGATGTACATTGCTCTCTTCAAACACAGAAAATAATTTAGAACCCTCTGGAATGCAGGGTTCCTTGCAAATGTAACTTCTATGATTCTATAAATCCACCTCTTATACCTGAATATTCAAACAAAAGCATTACTTTCCATTTCAAATTCTCACAAATTAAAAAAAAAAAAAAAAAAAAAAATCAGTACAAAAATAAAGCAGCATTTTTCTTAGCAAAATAAAAAGATACATCTTCATTAAAATGGCCACCATAATCACCAAAACTGGCAAACTTATTTGCCCAGTGCATAATACACAAACCGTAAGTGTCATCAATAGCTTATGTCAATAGCCATATAACACAAATAACATGTGGTCCTACTCACAATTTCAAAATGTATGGCGAAAGAACTGCCTCTAAAGCCCTTTAAAATACTTCTAACAATTGCAATAGCATACGCTTAGTTCAGCATATTATGTTTGAGGAAAAAGAAAGTAATTCTTATAATTGATTTCAAAACTAAATTTAAAAAATTTACAAAAGTCATTTTATTAGCATAAGAATTTTGAAAATTTGATGTAATATGCAGATTGCACATAATCAGCATTAACAATTCCATTGCACCAAAAATAGATCTTTCACTTAAAACCCTTAAATCTGCTTTTAATTACTATAACCTTACTATGCAATCAAGGCATGTAGGTACTTTTACTGTGAAATGTTCTACAAATGCTATGGGCATTTGACGTAAAAAAAAAAAAATACGATTACTTAATTAAAAGATGCATATAGACATGATCTGAAAAACATCAGCTTTGTCAAATATTTAACTCATCGACTGACATCATGCATAATATTCTCTCCTATTTTCTAATTAATAAACCTTTTTGTTTCCCATTTTAATAAATTTCATAAAAAGTTCTAAACAATATTTTTTCACTATTACACAAACAGAAAATGATTTTAAAAAATATTATTTATCAGAAGCTGCTATATTTCTCCTCCGAATTACAAACTACATATATACAAGCACACACACAAAGTATTTCAGTCCAAAATATGCTAGAATTACCAGCATATATATAAAAGTAATAATCCTTTTTTCTATTTTTTTACATAAAAGTGTCATACAAAAACCTAACTTTATTGAAAAAAGTCACTGTTTACCACTCCATTTCACATATTACACTATTTTTAGGTTTCTGTTAAATTTTAAATACTTTATTTGGGTGCATTACTATTTCAAATCTTTTCAATATTTATAAATATATATACATAACCATTTTTTCGCTATAAATTAAAAGTCCGTTCGAAAGTAAACACAGCTCTTATCCAGTTAAATTTGACTATACAAAATATTTTCATATATGCCTTTTATGAAACACCTTACTCTGCATTTTGATCTACAACACTGGTTCTACTTAACTCCATAAATCGCACATTTTACTGAGTTATTTAAAATAAATAATGGAAGACTCAACTGTTACCGATGACTTAAAATTCATCAATTAAACTATACCATCAATAGACCACAGGTGGAAGGATTTTTCTAAATTTTCTTGTATTGCGCTAAAATACACGTTTTAACAGATTGCAAGAAATATTATCATTAAGTCAAAAATTATACGCAATTTGTGTGTTCAACTAAGGCCATTTAAAAGTTCCCGCAAGACAGACAGACAAAGTAGACAGATGTCTTGTTTTGCACCTGCTAAGTCTTTCTGCGCCGACGGGCGAAAAATCAAGCATAGGTGCGAAGGAAAGGTATATAGAAAGGGGGGAAATTTCGTATTTGAGGAGAGTAAAAAGGAACTTCGTACATTTTCTACAAGTTCAAAAGGCCAGGAAGAAAAGATGAGACAAAATAAAATTTAAAATAAATGGCCCAAAAATAATAGAGGGGAAAAAAAAAAAAGAGCCTATAGAAAGAAAAGGAAAAAAGTAGAAAATATCCTAACATACGATTGTGTCCATGAGTGTAGTTAAAAGGAGAAGAATCTGTCTTCATTTACAATAAATAATGTCTCACAGGTGTGTGTGTGTGTGTGTGTGTGTGTGTGTGGTGAGTGTGTATGGTAATGGTGAATAGATGTGTTACTGGGGGGGGGAAATATTGACGGTGTTAAAATGCTTCGTATCAAGGTATTTAGCATGGAATACAAAGTAATATGTATGCTTGCATCCTGAGATATCAACAAAAGTCATCAAACAAAAGTATATATTAATTTAACTAAAGTAACTTATGCTATTGTCGTTCCCAACATTTTCATGCATTTTTCAAAAAACAGCGGCAAACAAACAACATAGAACCATATACAATACAAGACCACAATCGCACACACCAAAAAAAAAAAAAAAAAAAAAAAATGTATATATATATATAGGTGTGTGTGTGTGTAAATTACTGAGTATATGTATTAAAAGCACAAATTAAACATAGTATTTATTAATTTAACTATCATAATTTATTACAAGATTAATTGTTTTACTATCATAATTTATTACTAGTTAATTAATGCTAGTATAACACAATGAGGCACACTGTTATTTATATAAGCTCATAGTTCTAAGAATTTATTTAAGGCAGTGAGGAATAAACCATAAGGAACAGTATGAGAAAAAAATCGGTGAGGTATAATATTATTTAAAGGCGAAAATATATTTAAACGATCTAAAAAAAAGGAATAAAAGCAAATATGGTGGAGGATGTGAGATACAGTTAAGATTTTACTTTACAATTCGAAACAATTTACATAAAACTACTAAAATACTTTAATCGGAACAAAAATATTCTATGAAAGACATCTTATGGCAGATAAGAGCTTGCACTGAAAATTTCAAATTTACTAACGTGAGAAAGAATTCAAGAAATCGCGACATTTCTTCTACGTCATAGGAAATGCCAACTAGCGATTAAAGCCGATTTCCGCTTAGCATACGGCGTTCGTTCCGCTCGGCGATAGGAATAATTGCAAAACCACAGAACTCCAAAGGAAATTATAAAACTACCTTTCGCGATGTTATGTTTCGCTTCTTCCTTCGCGTTCTTAGTATCCTTTTAACCCACCCTCCTCCTCTTTACAGAAAGAGAGAAGAAATTGCAAGAGATAAGGAAAATTAATATGTTTGCGATATATATAAAAAAAAATTAGCTCTGTTTTTAAAAGGCAAATGACGTGTTTACGTAACAGCTTACATAATGTGGAAACAAAATATTTCTGCGCATAGCATTCGTCTTGCATAAACATTCTCAACACTTTTGGCCTTATTTCGTCTTAACGTATTTTATAAAAACATTAATGGCATAATTAGAATACACTAATATACAGTTATAAGAACAGTTCATTTGTAAATGGAAAAGGCATTTACGATAGACAGCTATTCTTTCTGCAAGGAAAATTACAGAAAAACAATTCGGCGAAATTCTTGGGTGGCGTATATGTATGTGATGCTGGAAACGAGCAATTACTATTTGATAGCTATAAAATTCATAGAAGTTATTTTATAGCAGAACACATGGATATCCCGTGTGATTCAAACGTTACCTGTAAAATTTCAAATTTTTAAATCTAGCAGATTTTTCTATTTAACTCTCCATTGTAACAGGTACGGCAGATTTTTGGAATGCCAGTTAGATTTCTGCGCCCACGTGGATCATGTGTCAGTTGTCTGTAACAGATCAAATTCCTACTTTCCGGACTTCGAAATATCTTAAACAAGATACTCGACACCGGAACTGATAACTGGACCGGAACTGTATATATTATTTATTTATTTTGCATATTATCACTAAAAATTACAAGCTCTTCTGGAATAAATCTGAATGCAGCAGTCAAAAATTTCGTTGGACTACGTCTGAATGTTGCAACCAAAAAGTTAATCAAGCATTCCGCAGCCTATTTCTTTCACACTCATCAATAAGATATATACCCAGTTAGATGTGATGCGCATTAAAGAAACCTGACTTGCATCTCAACTTTTAACAGTCCAGTCTATTTGATATTTACCGCTTCACGAATCGGTAATTTTCGTGAGGCCCCAGACAACATGAGGATGAAAAACAAGCAATTGGCATGGAACTAGATGAAAAGATTTGGATTCGATGTAAAATGGGAAAGGCTTTAAAACAGACTAAGTATCATTTTTAACATTAATAATAAATCTGTGTTATTCATGACTGGCTATACACTTTATAGGCTTTATAAAAATTATTGGTACAGATGCTTTTGCTAGGAAATCATGATGTCAGCCATTAGATGGCGCTTTTGACATGCTGACGTTTCGGATATTTTGATTTCTGCGTAGAAGGAACGCAATTAAGAACCTAAATGTGTTATGTTTCCTTCCTTCTCTGAGAACTCTTAAGACGTATGCCTAATAATGGTTGTTAAAGGATATATTAATTATGTAAATAAAATGTATACTGTCACTGGCTTCTCGTTTAAATGAATTAAAGTAACTGTCATTTTGAAGAAAATCATTATTATTAAAGCATTCACTGGGAAAGTAAAATTATTCTAGTCCAAAGCGGCAATTTGCCCAGAAGGACTATTAATTTCGTTTTGGCATTTTGCGTTGATTCACTACAAAGCATTGTTTCACTTTTCAAATTGTTGCCACTAAATATTATTAATATTTAAAGAAATTAAATAATGAAGAATCTGCATAAATGTATGTCTGTTTCTCGCACTGTGATAAAACAACGGTACCTAGAGCCAACCAATTTTGAATAACGTAATCCTCCTGCGAATATGGGCATCTGGAAGCCCAAATTTGTTTTATTATCGATTTCATATTTTGTAAAAACTTTAACGAATTT